ATAATAATAAATATTTTTTGCTGGTTAAATGCTATTGATATCACTGATAAATTTTGCACTCTTAAGTACTGCTAACTCAGGCTTTGAAAAAACCAGATTAAATATATTTCGTTTCGTGTATTTTTCGGTATGCATATTCCTGATTGCCGTCATTCACGGCCAAAGATTGTCGTAGTTAGAAATATGACCCCTTACTATTCAATATATTATACATTTTGACCTATTCACACTTGAACACAATTTCATTGTTCTTCATCTTTGAAGTAATATTTTTGTATTTTCTGGAAAATACACAATTTCATTATTTTGACTCGTATACCTTAACGGTCATAAATCTGCCTGTGAGACGAGAAAGTGACCGCTTCCTTCCCAAAGCAAAAACGCAGTAACAGATTTAATAGAAGAGTTGTATCGCAGTGATAACTCTGGAGTGAGTTACCCATCTCTAGTTCAGATATATCAGAGAACCCTTTTCCTGATGAAAAGTTGTTTGCTCTGGTTGGTGTCAATCTTTTACTTCGTAATCTATTATTGATACATTCTGGTATCAAAACAGAAGCTTTTCCAAATACCCAATTAGTTAACCATGATTCATCAACCTATCATTGATTTATTCATTTACTATTATTACCCAATCGTCATCAGTTGTGCAACATTTATGCATGCCCAGAATGTATGGCCTAATGCACATTGTGTTCCGTGTGTCGTTCTCTGAATGCATGGATGCGCCTGCGCCCGATAACCACGAAATAAATTACTAAGAATTAGGACGATGTAGATAACGAGCATATTAAATTCGAAAAATACTAAACGAATGGTCTAAATCGCGACACCAGTTCCAATTTGATTGATTTATCAATTGTCAATGAAACGACATTTTTAGAATTGATTCATTTATGTAAAACAGACTTATCGACAGCTGTTTTGTATCGTTTAATCATCTGGTGATAAATAGTAAATGAATGATTTGTGTGTATGATTTCATAATATGAATTTTGTTTCTACGTATATTACATCGAATGAACATTTGAGTTTAATCCTGGAAAATATTTGAATCATTTAATAGATAAAATTTGGCAAGAGCTTGGAATAACATTTAATAACGATCACGTCTGGCGGTTGTGCAAACAAATAAATATATAATTAGATTAATCTTTTTTTTATAAATATTGCTAGAACGATTTATATGTTTGCACTATATATCTACTACGTTTGGAATTTGTTTACTCTAATTTTGATAATATTTTTTTACTCTAATTTTGCTATTGATATATTTATATTAAATTATGTATCTACTTGCACTGAAAATTTACCAAATATCATTTTTTAATATATGTTTTGTCTATATTATCCCAAGACTATTTTTTATAATTTGCTCGCATTTTTCTATTTTGATGGTGTAAGTGCAAACTGACTTTTTGAATGAAAGATTTCTTTTTCAATTGATATATTTTTTAGGAAATATATTGCTATCTGTATTTTCGAGTGAAAAGTCATGTTACTACTGCTTGACATCAGGCTCCTCGTAGCGGGATCGAACCCGGGATCTTTGTTTAGAAGAATTAACATAGCATAGTAAATGATTAAAGTTGCAATGCTCATGTAGATGATAATTCTTCTAACAACATTGAAAAAAATTCCCCCGTCCAAAAAGTCAGTCTGCACTTTTCATAACATAATTTTTATATAAAATAGTCTCGGGCTTGTATAGGCAAAACATCTACAAAAAAATAATAATAATTTTCAGTGCAAAGTACACAATTTTACAAAAAAATATTAAGTGGAAAATTAGAGTAAAAAATATCAACTTGAAAATTAGAGTATATTATTATTAATCATATAACAGCTATATTTTCGATTCCAAAAACTATAATATCGAAGTTGAAGTTGATTTGCATCAGTAATTATCAAATATATTGAATGGCATCTGACCAGAGTCAGATCCTTAATATTTTATAAAAAATTTAACATTTATTGAAAACTATGGAGAAATCGTGGCTTTTTTTTTGTTACACATGTATTGATAGTTCTAAATTTAGTTATTCAATAATACATAGTAACTAAAGAAAAAAAAAATAGTTTTTTAGACCATTCGAGAAGTTTACCTCTAATAAGGAGTTTTGAGGAGTTTACCTCCAATAAGGAGCTTTGAGGAGCTTACCTCCAATAAGGAGCTTTGGGGAGTTTACCTCCAATAAGGAGCTTTGGGGAGTTTACCTCCAATAAGGAGCTTTCAGGAGTTTACCTCCAATGAGCAACTTCCATAATTTTTTTCTTTGAAGTCTTTCATTTCAAATCAGATGGCAATATTTTGGTTTTTATTTCTTTATGGGTTTTTTAATTAACGTTTTACTACTGTAATTTTATGAGTTAGATCACTATTATTAACTTATGTTTTCTGCGTATAAATTGGTATCAATAAAAAGCTGCTTTCAATCTTTTTGCACATGTCGTACAATTATAAAACCAGGTTCTTAGACAGCAAATTCTAGTTTTCTTGTACTATCAATATATATTCTTATCAAAACGAGTTCAACATATTTTTTTTGATATTTAATTTTTTTTCAACGATGTAGTACTACTACTACTGATTCAAGTTCTTTGCCGCTATGCAATATCGCACACACATTCAACAAAACCGTTAGCCGACTCTTTCTTATCAAATGAATGACTTATTTTTCTGTGTCCGCTTCAATCTACAAACGAACTTAATTTCTAATTATCTATGTGCAATTCGCAGAACAGGATGCCAATTGTAAAAGCATTGTAGTGTTATACAAACGCATACAGACGCCATGAACTGAATTATCAGATAGACATTGATGAAGTTCTGAAAAAATGTGCACGTATAAAAAGAAGTGTTTGAACCGATAGACTTGTAAATAGTTGTATTATAAGTGATAAAATAGTTTTTTAAAATGCCTCAAATCAAGCCAGCACAACCCTTGCCTCCTGCTCCGAGATGGAGCGTTGCTCCTTCAAAGTTATACTCTAATGTGACTTCTAAGGTAGCTGCAGTTAACGCTAGAAGTAAAGCAAATGTTAAACCTATGGTCGTTGCTCAGCCCAGAGTAATTATTAGAAATAATGTTCAATCCAAGAAGCCCGTGGAAACAAAATACCAGCCCGTCAAGAATGTCAAAATAATCAAGAGCCAGGACGAAAATATTTATGAGAATATTAAAGTAAGCGCCCAGAACGATAAATTGAAGTCTGCTCTGACGAATTTTGATAAAATCATCAATGAATACAATACTATGTCAGTGAGTTCCGAAAATTTATCAACTAAGAATCTTGCCGTCAAACAACAATCGAAATCAGTGTCCATCCCCAATACACCAGCATCAGCGCCAAAACTGCAGAAATCCAAAACATGCAGCATAATTGAAGCTCACTGCATCTTGAAAAATCCAACAGAACGTCAAAGTTTACCGGATGTCAAAACGAGATTAGTACGAAAAACTTTACAACCACAACCTAATTTTTCTTCTAAAGAAAGAGCCAAAAGTGTCTGGGACGTAAGCGCTGCGCCTCCAAAAATTAGCACCCGAGCCAGAAGTACCTCTTGTGTAAGGACTCCAAGCAGAATTCCTGTAAAGAAAATACCGCAGAAAAATTGTCTGTCCAGAACAGCTTCGGCCGATCAGTTTTCAAGCCCTGATCGTGGTAGTGCACCTGCAAAGCCGAATGTTGCCAAATTGAGTTTACCAATCAAGGCGTGTGTGGAAAAGTTTGAATCCAAAACTAAATCTTTGGCAGCTCCTATTGCTTCTTTAAGAAAATCTCAAGAAGCGATAGTGAGTAAAAAGCACGTACGAGGAAGGGATTATATAGAGACTTCTGCATATGATAATTGCAAGAAGCAAACTAAGAAGGTAATGGTAACGCCTAAACTGATCATGAAGGACGTCGTTGACTACATCAAGAGTGATCCGGGGAAGGAATATAATTCTGATTGCTCGGATGATAGTGGACATATATCTAATGAAAATGAACCTCCAGAAACTCCTAGAAAAGTTACTGAATTATTGGCTAAGTTTGAGAAGAGAAAAACGAGCGTTGATCAAGGATTTGTGGAGAACACACCTGCAGTACCATATCAGCAGGAAACAGCTAAGGAAAAAGAGGTATATTGGAAAGGCGTGAATTTGAGGAAAAGCTTTCTCATTTGTCTGGTGTATTTCATTTTTTGTTTGATGTTTCTTGTATTTTCTCTCTCTGAAGATTAATTTTCATCGATAAATGGATCGGATTTGAATATAAAATACATCAAGTATGACTGGATAATTATGTATGAAACGAAATAATAGATTGATAAAGAATGTACGATTGAATGTATGAAAATAAATTTGTACAAATGACTTGTATAAATACAACTTTTAAAGATTTTATTTTACATTTTCCACAGAATACAAAGAGTAATATAGTAATAATCATATAATTTTTAATAAATTTTTAAGGTTAAACTACCTGAACGTTTGAAAGTTTTGAATTTATTTTGTCATTATATTATTCTTTGATAAAGACATTTTTCATTAAGTACAAATATTCTATAAATAATTGTTCCAATTAATTTTATGTAATTATATTATTCTTAAAAACTTTTTTGTCATATCTTGTAGTGTATTGATTTTGTAATTTATTTTAAATTTTTTATTAAATGTATTATTAATTTTTTTTTTAAAAATTAGCTTATATCTATTTTTGGCTAACGAATCTCGGAAAAAACTAATTCTTAAAATACTTAATTTTTTAATTGATAATACATATTAGTTGATTGATAATACTTATTAGTTGATTTAAATTTTCTAAATCCAATAAGTTCAAGTTGTTTACTTTTTGTTTCATCCTTCATCATTTTTCAACCTTCTGGAACTATGTAGAGAAAGAGGATTTTTTTATTTTTCAAATTTATTTCTATTTTATAATTATATATTATATAAATATATACAGATCTATATTACAAAATTCATCTAATTTTTTTAATTTTTTGTTATCAGGTATTACTGCGTGCAGGAACTCTAGGCGCTCTCGAATCGAAACGGGACGCTTTGCTCACCGCTCGTATAACTGCTCTTCAGGTAAAAAAAAATTACTTATTAAATAGTTTAGTGTATTAAGTTTATAGTTTATAGCAGTAGTTTTCTAAACTTTTTGCAACGCCCTTTATCTGAGAATTTGCTCCTAAATGTATGTAACCCGTAACACAAAATTTCTATTTCAACTCAGAATTGACCCTTAACACTTTCGGGACGGCACCGATTTCAAAACAATCTACTTTACCGGCTGTAAACTTGATTTCATTGTGTATGTTATGCAATTTGTTTGATAAAAATTTGTGATCATTGAAGGACATACATTTTTAATATTAATTTATTTTTGATCATTTTATAAAGAATGGTGACGTTCAAAACAATTTCCAAAATGCATAGCTGGTTGATTTTGACATGTTTTACAATAAAATGTTATTCGCCGCCTTCCTTTTCTGTCAGAACAGACAATACAATCCCTTTTTCTTTTAGAATTTAGAATATGCCACTGATTAGTCAGTATAATTGGTCATTTTTTGCTGACATAATAGTTTATTTTTTCTATTATATTGTCTAATAATTCATTTATAAAATATAATATAAAGTAAAATAATCTATTGGATGTCTTATATTGCTTGGCATTTGTAGTCGTTGTGTTTGTTGATGTATGTCAAACTCGATTATTGAAGGAGAATCGGCACATTCGCTAATGTCTTCCCGCTCTTCATTTATTTTGTCGAACTTCTTCTTTTTGTTGGTTGGATAATATCATCATCAGATTCATTACTATCATCGGTGCGAATAGTAATTTCGTAAAATTTGTATGTATGAATGTCTATTTGAAACTCATCTTCACTACTGCTTAATTCACAAAATTTACTAGTTGATTTGTCATATTTAAGAGCGCTCGGTCGTTTTAAATATTAGAAAAAAAGACCATATAGTAAAGAAAAAGGCTAAAAATACTACTAAAATAATTTAAAATTATTTTCAAAATACAATACTGTTTATCTGCTATATATGATTTATTCAACTTTTCGATGCAAACTGAGTCATTGTTTCTAAAATAGCCTGTGCCTCACAGAGTATGTCTGTCCACTGAGGTGGACAGCCGTCCCCAGAGTGTTAAATGTATACAACAATGTAATTCCAATTTTAAATTTTTAATTTTTTTTTCTTATAGGCCAGATGTCGTGGAGTGTTGGCCCGTCGTCGTGCAAACAAAACCAGGGTGCAGACTTTGGCCGCTCGTTGCATCCAGCGCAATGTGCGCGCCTTTATGGCCGTAAGGGATTGGCCATGGTGGAGATTATTAGTCAGGGTGACGCCACTATTGGGAGTGCACAGGACGGAAGAGCTGCTGAAGGCTAGAGTGGTAAGTTGGAAAATAATTATAATAAAGGAATTTTAGCTAATATATTGTGAAAACCAAACCTACTTTAAATCACAGCAAGTTACTGACGTGGGCTCGCCCGTAGATAAGCGGTTAAGAGCGATGGGACTTGTTTCAGAGGTCCCGGGTTCGATACCCACTTCGAGCAACCTGTTGTCAGGCAACAGTAGTGACAACGATTTTCACTTGGAAATATAGATAGCAATATATTTCCAAGTGAAAATAGCCCTCACCCTTCATCAAATATTAATGGATTAACCATTGGGTTACCATCTAAAAAAAATACGAAGTAAGGCGAAGTTTCAGCCCAACAGCTCATAGGACGTAAGGTTCTGATTGCTGTTCAAAAATAATAATAATAATAATAATAATAAAAGTTACTGACGTTACTGATATCATACAAATAACTATCGAATTGTATTGTTGTATTGTTAGTAGAGGCCAAATAAATTAAAATAAGAAAAATTAAAATTACTATCGAAATATGTTCAGAAAATTTTCAGCTAATTAATAATAAGTATAGTCATTGTACAAATATGATTTTTGCTAATTTTTTTTAAAATTTGTCGTCTGGTCCTTCTAACGCCATGGACGGGGTAAAAATGGACAGCCAAGATCAAAACAGTCCACTATAATATTTTTAATTTTAAAGAGATTTTACGGAATAATAAGTACATTTTTTAATCAATGCGATGCAGTTTAAGTATTAGGTTGAACTAAAAATTAAAAAATATAATTTAAATATATGTTGGTAAACGTGATAAACAAAAATCTTTATAAACGCTTACTATTATCATAATTCTTGCTTTGGTAGTTATTTCTGTTTAATTTATTATGATCAGATCCATTTTTTATTGAAATATAATTATCACCATAAAGTTGAATACAATTTTATTGTTTGAAATACATATTTCATAGGCATATTTTGTACAATGATCACGCTCCAACAACCTTCCTTTGAAACTTCGTCAGAAGAAGTCATCATCAGATTTGGAATTACTATTAATTTAATTTCTCTTGCAAAATTGCCTTTTTTAAAATTATTTTACTTTTTTATTTGCCATTTTCGTACTGCTTACACGTTGCCAGTGTAAAGGTTTAGGTGGTCCATTTTACCCCAAGCACACAGAGGTTATATAAATCGTCTTATTCAACATTCTAGAGGTTATATAAAATAATATTGTTGAAAATAACTTAAAACTAACAATACCTGTTATAAAACAAATAAATAAAATATAAGTAAGAATTATGCTCAGGTGTCGTAAACTAAACAACAGTGCTCAAAACAAAAAAAAACTATCAAGGAGAAAAATACTTTCATTAAATGATTGACAATGTAGTTGTTCACCTCGTGATAGCAATGTGCTCCGATTTAAGTCGTCGGCTGGTTACTCATCTTTTGCCCTCTACTTTTAAATAGCATAGTGGAAAAATACTATATTTTTACTTGTTTTTTGAGACGATAGTATCGAATCTTTTAACCTGTGGTCTTTTAAGCTTGTTTCTATCTTACTTAGGTTTTAGTTAAGTTTTCAAATATTTTTTTAATTTTATTCTATTTGTTACTTGCAGGAAGAATTGGAGATATTGAAGAGCAAATTTGAAAAATTGGAGGCCGAACGAACAGTCTTGAAGCATGAAAACGATCGGCTGGAATCGAAGGTAAGAATCATATTTACTTAATATTATGTGCAGGTTTTTTTTAGTTAATTATATTTATCTATTATTTATTTTATCTCAACTATTGATTAACTTCCCGAAGTATCAGTTTGTTTTCGCAAAAAAATCCGATTTGATCATTTTATTCTATTCCATTTCGTAATTAATATTCATATTGTTCACAATTTACTATTAACCCTTTCCACTCGGATGCCGCCGCTCCGACGGCAAAATTTATATAAATCGGAATTAGCGAGTGGAAAGATTATCACATCGTACTTTTTAGCTTTTTCATATCTTCCTATTTTCATAATTAATAATAATTAAATATAATATTAATAAAATATGATTTATCACAACGGCTCTGTTACATTTGCTTTCATGATGATGAGATAATAGTTGTCGATTTATTTATACATAATTTTTAGGTCGTAAAGTATTAATAGAGATATAAATTAGTGTACACAGTGTTCCAGCTAAGAGAATTAGGACACAATGATCTATTTTGGAACGGATTATTAGGACTTGCCTAACACGAATTATCAGCATCTCTTATTTTCTCCATTTCTATTTTTGGATCAACTTGGCGGGTTTTTTTTTATAAATTGAGGAGAATATTCATGTTATTTGAAACGAGAAGCTACTAATATTTTTTTAGCAAAATTTTTCAAAATACTTTTAATGCTTTTGATTTGTTCTGCACCCAAAGGCCGGTTTTCTTCTAAACTAATAATCCGATTTTTTTTATTATTATTACATAGTAATTTTCATAACTGTTTTGAAGTGGATAAGTAAAACTGTAGGATAAATGATTTTGAAAATACAAAATTTTCTTATCATTAATTATCACATGATTTGTTTTTAATTTTGATTGCATCAATATTATTTATTGAAATATGCAATTGTTTTAGATCATGGTCGGTCACTTCTTTGCTATTTTCATTTTATCTATTTTGTGATGAAATGGATAGAATTTAAAAGTATGGAAAGTCGATTTTCTAAAACTGTAATCACGTTTTCCTGAATTTAATTTTTGCAAAATTGTATATTCATAAAAATTGTATTGTATTTTTTAACTTATTTGTGACACCAAAGACGTTGTCCAGTAATTTAGGTCTTCGGTTATACAAACTATAAATATCTTGTCTTATCTTGGGTGATTGCCTATTATCCTAATTAGTTCCCAGGACTAATATCAGTAATAGTTCCTGGTATCGATAAGAAATGTATGATCGATTTCAATGAATACTATCTTTCCTGGTACAGCTTAAATTTATTAACATTAGCTCAAAAATGTTCTAATCTACGGGTCATTGAATTTTGGCAGTTAATGAGTTTTGGCAATCTGAACAAAGTTACGAGATTAATTAGTCAAGATATGTGACTTGGCTGAGTCTTAAGAGGTGCATTTTGTTAGGGCTTTGTAAAGTAAACTTACCTATGAGAATTATATGCTTTTGCCAAAAAATCCTACTTGATAGTTTTTATGTTATCGACGTCTCAAGTTATTCTGAATTGTTTGAGATCAGAAGTATGTGTATGTAAAAACAAGTATGTGTATTTGAACCGATATTTGACCTTTTGTCGACGTTTTCCTAAAAACTGCTGAACCGATTTCGAAAATTTTAAAAATTATTCTATGAAACTTAAGTTAAGGTTTGTTAAAAATTTATTGAATAAAAAATGTAACAATTCAGAAATGTCTCTCTGTATTTTTATTAATATAAACTTTTTTTTACATGTACAATTAGTCATTTGCCTACGTACGATATGAAAATACTAAAATATAATTTTATCAAAAATAAATTATTCTTATAGTTATACTTCTTAACCACGTTTTGAATTTAATAATTAAAGTTGGAAAAAAAACTAATAACACAGGATCACCAAATAAAAAGTTGCCTATATTAGGTGTGCAGTTTCACCCGCAATTTTGACTTTAGATTCGTTTCAGCTACATTGGAAAACTTGGACCTGTCTAATTATTTTAACTCAATAAAATTTTGGCAATTTTTTTTCAAACTGAAAAAAATGCGTAAAAACCTATTTCGTGTTGATATAATAGAATTGGAAAATAGTATTCTACTTCGTTTTCCGAGGAGATCATTTTTAGTTTTTTTTTTTTATAAATATTTTTCGATTGATTATTTACCATAGACTTATACTACATTTCGTTAATTTCAAACCCTGTCCTGTTTAGTTTAGACTATTTTTACAATAAAAAGTTGGCACCGATTTTACAATGGATGCATATTCTTAGACACGCAACATAATAAGAGGCGCCGATTATGCGTGCACGTTTCAGAAAAACAATTATTTAAATAAATTTACACTTTGCATTAGACAAAACTAAATGTACGAATTACCCTTGAAAAATAAAAACTGCATATTTGAAAAACAAGTTTCTTAGAATAACTATAATAGTTGATGCGATTTGTAGTAAAATATGAATCTTTTACGCTGATTGTATCAATATCTTTCCACTATGGAGTTCACTATATTGCCACTGGAAATTGCGACTACAACAGCAACTTTTCCTCAATAAAAACAAGTCATTAATAGGTTTATAAAAAAATATTGCACTTCCGTCGAGTGATCTTCATTGCACCGAACTTCCGCTAAAAGACCAATGATCATCGTATACATGAGAAATATAAATACAGTGGTGCTCCGACATACGAGTTTGATTTGTTCCGTAACCGCGCTCGTATCTCGAAGCAATGTTTCCTATAAGAATACGTTGAAATCTCAATAATTTGTTCCAGCACTGTGGTTTTTGTCAAGTTTTTTTAATACCAAAAATTAATTTACTATTAATTATGTTTATTTATTTTTTTTACTATTCATGATATTGAGGAAATGTTTTGTTGAACAACTTTTATGGTTAAACTGTTGCAACTTTCTTGAAATGATTTTTATCCACAAATTTTTAGACAGATCAGAAAGTGGCCTACAAATTATTGTAAGGCCCTTGGCTGTATTTATTACTTTTATCAACTCCTTGTGTTTAAATACATGGATATGCTACACTCGTAAATCTTTTCTAATTTTTTCCCATTTTTTTAAATATTTTTATCTTTTAGTGTAAGAGACATGACCTTTTTCTTTGGAATATTAGTTATAATAGTATATAATTATTATTATAGTCAAAATTTTAAACGTTAAAATAATTTTTGAAAGCAAAATGCTGGAACTTTAATAAAATTCGGTTTTTAAGAATTTTCAAAAATTTTACTTTTTTGAAAAAAAATATTATATTTCGAAAATTTTGAACTTTTTTCAAAGCAATCGCGCTGTGTAGCTGTTTTAGAGACGAAATATCGAAGCGTGTAAGCCCCACGATCCAGTAACGGATGTGCATTAGTAGACAAAATTTGTACTTATTTATAAAATCCTTAAAGTATGTCATAATTTGATGTTCGTATGTCTAATGATCATTTTTGACTGCTAAATTGCATTTTTTTTAAACTTTTTTTTATTGGATCTCCGAAACCGCTCAGCTGCCTTCCCAAAAATTTAGCCAGTTATTATAAGGCCCTTGCCTTATATTTCGCCAATATAAGTAAAATATTTTTCAAATCATTCAAATAGGACTTTATACCAAAAACTGAATTACCATTGTAGGCACTTTTTGCCTTGTATCTTCGAAACGGCTGGAACTGCCTTTGCCAAATCTAATTAGCACGTCTCCCCATCAATACAAATCGAATGGTTCTTGAATTATTAAAATCGGTTGATTCAGCAGCTAATGTTTAAGTGTGTATGCATTTTTAATATCCAATTATTCAATCGCACTAACAAAATTGCTACCCATTATGAGAGTTAATCAAAGTAGTACATTTATGATTGACTATATTGCTTCATTCATTAGATTTCATTTTATCTTTACGGTTATGAACAAACTAAAATTTCGAAATTTTATTTTTATTTAAGATGCTGCAGAGGTATTAAAAATGCATCTGCATTCATGTTCCTTGTATCAAATAAAAAAACACATGTTTCCGATTGAGATAATGAAAAATATAATAAATCACACCGGCCTGTCACAACTCACGAATCGAAAGGTTCGAAATAATAAATGTTTTGGCAACGTTCGATGGGCTTTGATTTATTTTTAGATTTATTTAGCAGATATTTCCGCCTTTGAACATATCTATATAGATATATACATATATAAATATTATAGTTATAGTCATGTAATTTTGATTGATATTTCCGTTAAATAAAAATATTTAACAATCTTGAGTTACTTGTACTAATACCAATATATCTTTCTTTTGGTAATTGGATGGATGTAACTTTTCGTTATAATATTACATTATTCTTCATCATCTGCAATATTAAATGCATATATACTTTGTGTGGGCGTGTGCTAAAGTGATTTTATTATCTTTAAATAATTTTCTTGAAGATTATCAATGTCTGGTTCCAGTGCATAATTATATTGGCTATAGCAATAATCGGTCCAGTTCAAATATAGCAGAAGATGCAAAGAAAGTCCTCTTCTGTCGATGCTTCTGTGCCCTAGTTTTGCAAACAAAGTTTATTTTGATATCGCTAGAGTCGTTTATATTTACAAAATCTATGCTATTTTTCTGCCATCATCCACGATTTTCTTCTTTCTTAAAAACTTTCGAGTTATATATCAATCGAGCGAAAATAATTCTTGGCACGACTTAAAATAAGCCAACGTCGGTCATTCATCTTTTCGGAGCTATTAAATAATAGATGTTTTTGAATAATATATATTTCATTATAATGATTATTTGATCTGATAGATTTTTTATATTCTATTAGCTTTTTTTCATATTAAGAACTATACGTACTGTATAAGCTATGTTATATTGTATCTGATTTTCACTTGAAATTATATTTGAGATCTATAACCTGAAGTGTAAATTTTATATCCTACTGCTTGATATAGAGTTTGCCGCGGATGAAATCGAAACTAGTTGGTTCTTGTTCACATTCTCAAATATTACACCACGACGCGCTATTTTATT